CTTCTACGACACTAACCATTGTGCAGGATTCTCGAACCTCTTCTTCAGGCTCTATGATTCGAAGAGGGTAGAAGGGATTTTTAGGAAGAAGATCTTTGGAGCTGACTGCCTCGACTTTTCTGGTTGGCTCCTTACTCAGGATCTGCAATCCCCTATCTTGCTTGATTTTGAGGCCACTCTCATGAACTGAGACTGAGATTGGGGTCGACCTGCCTTTTAGAGCATGAGAGGGTCGTGTCCATAAGGTGAGGCAGTGAATGTGGACCAAGGATAGATGCCAACTTAGGCTGCTGCCTAGGGGCTCGTACGACTTCATCTGTCATCAGGCCTTTGCCCCGAGCTCGTTTGTAGGCTCTAGAGGTATGGCCATCAGGCCTTTCCAGGATGAAATGCCACAAAAAGGAAGAACACCACTAACTCTTATTCTTGTCCACCTTTTTATTCATCTTCTTTAAAAGGGAAAAAAGAAAATAAATTCCACCTGGTGGAAAATCAGAATGGAAGCAATGAGAAAAATGCCACCAGCTGAACACTAGAGAGGGACCTAGGGGCGAAAAAAAAGAAAAGCAAAGAAAAAAAAAAACAAAGAAGTCTATTGAACTAAAAATTTGAAAGGAACCCCAAGCGTTGGAAAAAATGCCACCAAGCTGAACACCTGAAACCTTTGGGCTACAAAAAAAAGAACTTCTCAATCTTTTCGTATTTTCTCCATGATCTCTAGAAATTGCTCTCTTCCCAAGTCAGAATGGTGCCAAAAGCAAACGAAATTTGAAGGCATCAGTTCAAGTAAACTTGAAGAGCCTCAACTATCTGAACTTCAGAAAGGTTGATATTGGAGAGACGAAATTGGAAGTCCAAGGAGATTCTGAGCACTCAAGGTCAGTACCCCACATTATTCAAGAAAAACTCTCCCTTGAATTGTGCCATAAGAGCCAAGATTGGAATATGATGAAGTACTTGGTAATTCCTCATCCTGAAAGTCGCAAGTAGATGCTTGACAAGCTTATGTTGAAAAAAAAAAAAAGAAGAAAGAAAGAGAAAAAAAAAAAAATAGAGCTCCATGGAAGCATGAGCCTTAACTTCTTACTAAACCTGATTTTAAAAATGTCTCACCTATATTCAAAATTTCCCCAACATATTCTTTTGAAGTTTTCAAAAACCTTAATTTCTTTGTTTAAAATGTAGCTTAGAACTCTTTAGCTGTTTCAAAATTATACGAATCTTCAGAACCTTCTAAAAGAGTTTCACGGAGGCTTGGATATGATGTTTATACTTTCACCAAATTGTTATGCATGCAAACTCATACAAAAACAAAAAGACTAACCCATAGTTTCCCAAACAAAAGCCTGAACCTGTGGCCCCAAGAATCAGAATCGACGGTGAACAAGGGGTTCAATCAACCAGGAATTCAACATCTCATCATTTCTTCTAAATCAAACTCCCATTCGATTAGAGAACTAGACCTCAAGATAAAGGTCTAAAGTAGAAAATAACTACACTGGCCGCTTTCCAGGTAGTATTGGGATGACTGCAATGAGTGTCACCGGCTCAACGGTAGCACAATTCATGTTTACTTTCAATTAGGATCCCAATTGTCAGAGACATCTCAACCACACTAACTCAAAGATAGTTGTGACAGTTCAATGTATTACTAATCAAAAGCATCTATCGGCGTACTGCCTACCCAAAGGGTACTGGTCATTCAAAAGAATGATCCCTCTAAAAACTTTTCCTCACCATCTTGTCTCAGGTGTCTACTTCTTTTCTATTCACTTGGTGCCCCAAGTAAATGCCAAGGAAGGGCAACTATAGATGTATTCCTCGAAATTCTGGCTAATAGAATTCCTAATAACCTCGATTATGATTTTAAAAGACCACACAAACCCTAGTAGACCATAGGCAACCTAAACCTTATATACATGCGCCAAACATGCCCAAAACCTATCCCAAGTCGAAGCAGATCCATGATCTTTCCAACGGTCCAAGAATCACTTGTGTCTGACCTATGGTTAAAAATTTCTAGAAAGTGACAAATATGTCCCTATTTAATAGGCCTGAGGCGGCCGGCCCTATGGTCCGCACGTGGCGCGTGTCACCAGGTCCCACATCACGCAACCTTATGGGCTTGGCCTGGCCCAACAACCTTCTAAAAGCTTCTTAAGATGGTTTTGTGTCCCAAAAATTCTAAACAAATCAAGAAAAATCAGAAAAAATAAGAAACAAATACTCAAACCTAATCCTAATTGAACTAGGAGATTCCCTACCTCAAACACTATAAATAACCCCTTAGAGACTAGAAAATTCATTCAGAAATTCTTTAAAAAAATAAAAAGGAAAATACCTAGAAAACTCCTAAAAAAATTACAAAAATTTCCAAAATTTGGATTTAATCTTAGGAGCCCCAAAAACCCATAGAAAACTAAGCATTATCCCTCCTAAACTGTAAAAAAAGCACAGGTAGACCATACCTAAAATTCCCAAGCCTTCTTCCTGCCTTAGGGATGCTAAATCTAGGTCAAAGAACTCTAGATCCACCAATTCTAGCAAGCATAGCCATCCAAAAGGAGACGGTGCCGCAAATCTGAAGAGTGACCTGATCCAATATCGAAACTCTGGGTTCCGGGTTCCTAGAGGTAAGTACCATTTCTTTATTTAATTTTTGCTAATTTTAATATTTATTTTAGTTTTATTTTCTGTATTTTTTGTTATTTCTTGGTTTGTAAAGTTTGAAAGAGTTTTCAATGCAAATACACAGATCTACAAGCTAGCGTTGTCAGTGGATCCAAAAAAGAATCAGATCCGAATAGATCCGTGTCATTCTTAGACCCATAATTCAAGTGACCCTACTATCTCACTACTTTAACAAATTTAACTTCGTTTTGTAAAGATTTGAGTATATTTCATCTTAGAGATTGACGCAAATTGGAGAGCAAACATATATGTATGTCTGTATAGATTGAATTATAAAGGTTCCATCTACTAGGTACATGGACTATGTTTGGACATGAGGTAGATATTTGCACGAGCCTAGAATTGGATCCTAGTCCAATGCATGTATCCTTCCATCACTTGGGATATTTCTTTGGCCTAGATTCTTTTGAGAGTATTTTGCATATAAAATAAGGAGTTTGAAACCCAACCAGAGCACAGTGGAGAGAGACAGTGTGTGTGAGTGAGAGAGAGCAATTAGTGAGAGGAAGGGCACATTTAATAGAGAAAGTTAGAAATTGGGAATGGGGTCGAGGTCATGGTGGTAGCAGCACTTGAGCCTCAGCTACCAGTCTGGGTTTCGATTCCCACTGACGCATTCGAAAACTGTTAATTATTTCTAAAAATGAGTAGGGGCCGGTTATTCCCTACTAATCTAACCAAAAACAAAAAAGTTGGATAGAAAATGCATAATTAGAAAGAGAGGACCTAAAGTGAGAAATAAGTGCATGAACAGAGAAGAGTTAGAGAGAGAAGGGCACTTTAGTGAAAGAATGGTGTTAGAGAGAGTGGATGGGGCAAGATTAAAGAGACAACTTACGAAGCGAGAAAACGCATAATTAGGGAGAGAAAGGAGTTAGAATGTTAAAAAGAAAATACATGGCTAGAGCGAGAAAGGACATGGCCTCATAGAAAAAAAGGAGTGGTTGCAACGAGTTAGAGAGAGAAAATGTATGACTAGTGAGAGAATTATATAAATAAATTAAACTCTTAAATTAAGAAAGGAGTTAACAGAGAAAGGTACACTTAAATAGAGTAGTTCATGAGAGAGAGGGGTCATGATTATAAAGAGAAAGGAGTTATATAGAGTTAGAGAAAAGGTACCAAAAAAAAAAGAAAAAAGAAAGGTTATGCGAACTTCCTAAAAAAGGATGATTCTGACTTCTACCCAGTGTAGAAACTACATGTTTTTAGACTCATTTTTTGAGAACCCAAAACTTCTTAAAATCAATTTCCTAGAGTTTTGTAAACAAGTACAATAAACTGGAACTTCTAGTTTATTGCCATAAAATAAAAAATACAATGACTAGCACTTCTTGATAATTAAAGCTGGAAATTCGTCTTTTCAAACGTGCCCTAATATTCTGGTAAGTATTCACCATGATAATCATATCCATACACATTTTAATGGGCAAGTTATCAAAAGAAATCGGCCACCTTCCACTTGAAAATTGCCCCTCATCATTCCAACGCGCCATTAATTTGAATAAAACATTCCTACACCTGCCGATTGGCTCAAGAAATGGCAATGATGGCGCTTTTAAAATAACAAGGATACCCCTTGCCTTTAACCAGATCACTATGTAGTTTACCCCGAATTATAAAATCAATAATCTTTGAGCCACAATTTGGATGCTTATTCATAGCAAGCCGAGGCTGTATTTCTTACTATTTCAAAATGCCAAAGGTTGGGTGCATGAGAGTCTTATATTATTATTCTAAAGTCCCAAACCTGGGTTACAACAACACAAGAAAAAAAAAATAGTTTAGGTAAAAGTAATTGGAGTAAGAGTTAAGGGATTTGACATCATGATATTCGGGACGACCGCATGATATATTTGATTTGAGCATGAGTAGTCACTTCCTCTCACCCAACATCTATTGTCCATATATTGTAAAATTATATAATTGGTCATGCCCGACAAATGAAAAAAAGAGGGGCCAAGCAACGACTCGCCACACATCTTCTTTGAATAAATAAACATGGATGGTGGGTGTTAGGTCTGAGTACTATGCACACAACGGATGCAATCGTACACATACGCCACAGCCCTAGGTTCAAGAGACATGACATGGAAGTGCATAGACATAGATGAAAGATACATGAGATGGTTGATGAAATTGAGCGACCCCAATGATGAATTAGGGTTTAGAGTGCATAAAGCATAAAGTGGAAAATGATGGTGCTAAAGTAATGATCGCTGAAGCACATGCTAAAGGAAGAAGCCATGGCTCCATTTATCTCCTCTACCACATCAAACTGTCCGACCTGCCTTATCTTATCACTATCAATCCTACTTTCAGTCCCAAACTTGGTCACGTCAAACCCTCTTTTCCCTACTAATAACCAACTTCAAAGCCCTCTATCTGTCCAGCTTCAAAGATTCCAACGACACTAGTCCCACCCAAAAAACACGACTTCCCTCCACTTTATGTGGCTATATTTAATATGCATTCATACTTTCCCTTCTAACACTTGAAAAACCCTCCTTGGCAGCTATGGAGTACAACCAGCCCTTCCCTCCAGGCATATCCTTGTTGCACCCCAGCGAGAAGAAGAAATCCAAGCAGGGAAAGTTAAGGATGAGGTTCTCACTAGTCTGGAAGATCCTCCCCATGCTGAGCACAGGGTGCAAGACTGGGAGGCCTCCGACGGGCCTCCTCCTTAATGGACAAGTGGTGACCGGGACTTTGTTCGGGAACAGGAAAGGACGGGTGAGCCTAGCCATTCAAGAGGACTCGAAGAGCCTGCCAGCATTTGTAATTGAGCTTCCCATGCCGACACATGCTTTACTAAAAGAGATGGCATCTGGGCTCGTGAAGATCGCACTAGAGAGCGAGAGTAAGGGTACTTCGCTCTCCCAAAAGGCTAGTAGGCTAGTGGATGATAGTGTGTGGTGCGTATATTGCAATGGGAGAAAGACAGGCTATGGTGTGAGGAGGGAGAGGTTCTCAGAGGAGGAGTTGCATGTGATGAGAATGCTTCGGGGTGTATCTATGGGTGCCGGTGTTCTTCATTGCTCCTTTGCCCAACAGTCAGCTGCAGAGAGCGAGGTTGGAGATGCCGAAGTGACATATATGAGGGCGCGGTTCGAGAGGGTGGCAGGATCCAAGGATTCAGAGGCTCTCTATATGATAAATCCTGATGGCAAGGGGGGGCCGGAGATGAGCATCTTCTTTGTAAGGAATTAGGATGAAAGGATCCCTGTCTCTTTTTCTTTTTGTTGTGTGTGTGTGTGTTTCTGCTTATATTAATAACACAAGCATATTACCAGGGAATAACACTCTACTACTTTCTTTTAATCAGATTTCTTCATTCCCATTGTCCATTTTTATTTTTATTTTCCGAAGTGACATTAGTGAAGTAAAATCATGGCCTTTCATGTCTTTAGATATGGCGAACCATGTTGCTTTTAACATTGAACCCATTTATATTTCCAAGGAAAGCATGGACATTTTAGAAATCTAGATTCAGGTATTTACTTTCAATTTTGCAAAATGTTATACTCATAGAAGAGGAAACAAGGGAACCCGTGTTCAATTATCACTCATGGATTATGGGACAAGAAATTGGATATACGTGAGAATTAAGATTCAGTCCAATTATGTACTTCCAAAATTGATTTTGCGATAAATATAAAGCCGGGGTTTGCCCATTAGCTAATACTATAGTGTTCGTTCATCAGCTCAAAATGATGCTGGGCAGATCCAATGGTCACGATTGTATTTTGTATATAAATTTTAATTATTTTTTAAAAATCCAAATCATTTGAAATTTTGATAGTTTATTTTTTAAAAATAAGATAATCTAATAAAAATATCAAGAAATAAATTGATCAAAATATCCGCATAACTTTTCAGGGGTATTTTGATCGATTTATATTTTGTAAATTATTTATTTAATGTTTTTATTAGGTGCGTTTTGATGAAAAGAATGTATGTCTAAAATTCATATGATTTGTGTTTGTATAAAAAAAATTTAAAATTATATTGCAAAATGAGGTTGGGACCCTATGATCAATACAAATTTAATTTGAGCCACCGGGTTGATACTGTAGTATTAGCTAGTGAACTAACCTTATCTTTTTCATATATATATATATATATTATTTTATTTTATTTGTTTCCCTATGTTTTTTTGGTTCCCTGCCATTGGATTAAGTAGAGTCTGCCTAAGATAAGGTAATATGATCAAATGATCTTTTTGCCTTGTTTTGAGTCTGACATTCTAATCTTTTTCTCGACTTTTTTTTACTTTATTTTTATTTTTATTTTTTTCTTTTCTTTTTCATTTTTTTTTTAATTATAAAAAAAAAAGTCCCCTACCCATAATAAAAATGTGACTCAAGATATTACATTATAGTGTCCACTACACCGACCACCTAGCCTTTCCCATTTTTTTTGACCTTGCAGTCTCCACTACAGGTCCGATGTAACCGGGAGAACATCAAAACCAAAATTCCCTTCAGCTCCAAAGGTGCGGGTCATACAAGTGTATGGCTGGGGAAGATTAGCATGGTCATTGCGGCATGCGAACACATTAACATATCGGACGGTGATGAACGGGGCTGGGTCCCACTAATAATGCCATTCATTAAATTTTGGTTAAATGCCAACCTGTAATTGCTTTTAAGCCATTTGTCGTTGCTTATGGGTGTATGCCTGTTAATGGGCCCTACTTATTTAATGCTCTCGCAATATAGTTTTATTTTGTTTGATTTATAGCTCGTGTGCGTAAGGGCCCTCTATCCCTAGTTCTATGAGATACAGAGAGAGAGAGAGAGAGAGAGAGAGAGATCCTTTAGGCTCCATTTGAATGGCTCTTGAAGTGTGGATCATTTACTTAATAACCTGACGTCACAAATATGTCGAGCATCGGACATATTGAATAAGTTCCCGTAGTTCAAGGCCTAGACCGACAACCGCCGACATTGAATAGCTCCGCCCAAATTATATGGATATTTGAAAATACATTTTCATAAATATTTTTAAGGGGCAATGGCTCATTTTTGGTGATTGGATCCAAATCTTAGGATTGAAAAGTATTTTTGGCCGTAATTGTTTTTCTCATCTCAAACCAAAAATAATGAAATCTGTATCATTGCTTTTATCCTCTGAAATTGATTTCCAACCAGATTTCGATGTTACGAAAGCGTCTATTTTGCACCCATGAACTTAAGCAAGAAATTGAAACTTTATTGATAATTGTGTAAAAATGAACGAAGGGTCTTTTTGCAATTAAGTTTGACATGTTTATATAGAATTGGGCCCAAACATGGGTGGATACCCAAAAGTTACCTAAATTGATAATAATTACATTTTTTTTGAATTGTAAAGAAAATTAAGAAAATAAGGTGTAAAATGACTATTTTGCCCCTACCTTGCAATTCATGGAATTCCAAAATAGTCCCTGCTACAGCCCTAGAACTTGCATGATCTTTCATGACTGATCTGAGGTTTCTTTGATGCCTGTTTGATCGAAAGATGATTTTTTTCTTGTAGGGCTCGGCATGATGATCGATTTGATACCAATTTCGAGCCATGGATCTGGTTTTTAAGTCACGATCATGAAACTTGAAATTTTCTTGAATCTTGAAAACTTTGGATCGATAGTACACTCGTTCCTTGATATTTTTCCGTGATTTATTTGTCGTAGTACACTGAGCATGCCATCACGATCGCGTGGCAACAAACCGGACACGTTTTGGAGCTCGAGCGAAGATTACACAACTTTCAGGTTTTGATCGGAATCTAGAATCCGACGGCTAGAATTTACAGTCACTTCATCGCCTTCTTGTGCAAAATTCAACCGTTCATTATGTATGGGGTTTCGAACAATGGTAGCCTTGGACGTTACGCACATGATGGAATTGCTTCCATGTCAATCTGATGAGCGAGGTCGTGATTTGACCGCTCGAGCAAGGCGTGTCGCTGCCAATTTTTCTATAATTTTTTCACTAATCGGCAACTTATTTTTAGCTTTTCTCCCTGCTCGAGTGTCGTCATGAGGCATACCACATATCGAAACGCTCGTCTTGACGAGAGGAACACGCTCACATAATTTGATTGTGACCCGACTAGGATCGAGTGAGATATGGGCCCCGAAAGTCACTACACATGACTGTGAAAACAGCCACCTTTAATGGTGTTTTGGTGCAAAGTGGCTACACGGGAATAGTGTGTGGCCCCTTATGTTTCAATGTTTTGTCCATAACTTTGTCCTAAAGTATTCGATTAAGCTAAAACTTGACCCATAGGGGTTTTCGACCATACTGGATCCAATGGTGGTGGTCCCACAATAATTTGACATATTAAAAATGTAGTTCTAGTTATAAGTTGTTTCAGGGTACCAGAGGCTAATTTTTCAAAATTGTTTATTTTTGTTCGCTGCCTTAGACATGTCAAAATGTGACGAAACTTGGCAAGTGGCCTTTTGAATTGCTTATGGAGATCTTGACCAATTCAGGGGCCGTTATGAGACTGTTGAAAATTCTACTGTTTGTCAAGCTTTTTTAATCAACTTCCTCTTTATTTCGCATTAGGGACCAAGGTGCTAAAAAATGTGCTCAAAATTCTTGCCCCGCCGATGGTTGTGCTTCGAAGGAATCGAGAAGGCCAACATTTGGAAAATTTCCTCAGCTTTATTACTGTTTTCTTCCTAGCCACAAGACCACGTGAACGCCAAGGAGATATCCACGCAATGTTGTACCAAGGATGCTCAAACGTAGGGATGCATTGTTCGCAAGTCCGTCTGTGGAGATTTTGGGGGAGAAGAGTATTTTTTTTTTTGAGGGATCTTGTCAAAGTCCTCACCCTCGAGGGACTAATTGTGATTCTGGCAGCTGAGGATTTTGTATGGGCCTCGTTGGTCAGAATCAGACCCTTTTGGTAATTGAGTGCCATGTCAAAGGGAATTGTTCCCATTTGGTCTGATTTTGTTTGTATCCTCTGGTGTTGAGCTACGTTTCGAAGATTGGGTTTGTCTGTATGCTCTGGGGTTGAGTCACGTTTCGAGGATTAGGTTTGTTTGTTGATGTGCTGAAGGGCCTTTTGTTGGCATCTTCTGCTTTGTGCACCAGTTATTCCTTGGCAAGTAGGGTACCTCAGTTTATCAAGGTGACCAGCTTTGGGTATAACCCCTATCCATTGCTGTGTAGTTCCGACAATCAAGATCCCTCTCATCTTTTTCTAGAGGCTTCAATCCTAATTACCACACCAAAGTCATGGTTGACTTAGCTTTCTTGGGGCATCTTCAACATTTTTGGGAAGTATGTTAGTAACCTCCTGGGAATGATGCTCTTTTTCATGAGACATGTCTTGCTTTCTCGGCGAATCTTCTGTTCATCGAGTCCTTTTTGCAAATGAACTCAGGCTGTCGAAATCTTTCCTTGAAGCTTTTTTGGTCCTGATACTATGACACCAAGGATTTTTCTTTTTGAATGTGGGTTGAAGCCACCTATAGAGGCGTACGCTACATCAACCTGCTTATTGATCCAAGCGTCCTTACAGCTTTTTACTTGGATTTGTGAAGCGGCACCGTAAATATGGTTTTCACCAACTTCTTTTTATTTGGGGCTCTTTTACCCACGATCGTTTGGCCATGTCCACCCTGATTCTTCCATTTTTGCTCACGATGCCCTTTTGGATTTTCACCGTGCCTGAGTTTTATTTTCACGGAACTCTTCTACTCATGTGTTTGTGACCATGCCCGTCCATTACTTTTACTCATGGCGGTCCCTTATCTAGACATATACCATGTCCGTTATTTTATTTTTTTGTTTTTATTGTGAAAGCATCTTAGGGTCATGCCTTCGGGACCTGTGCGAAGCCTTTTAACATCATACGGCCAGGATGTGCACTACAGTTTAAGGTCATACAGATGGACCATGACGAGGATGGATGACAGTGTATGGAGGCTATGGAGTGAGTATGGTGATGGTTGGACTTACTTTGGAAGAATGCAACAATGCTACCTGTGAAAGATGGATGATGTATGGATGGAAGATGGAAAGTGGTGACCCACTAACTGACGGCGAGTATGGATGGTTGAAGGGCTCACCATTTTATGACCATGGGTGGGACTCACTGGGGAATGATGAATGATGGTTTGGAAGTGAATGGACTCCCTGGGGAGGTAATGACGCTGGCGTGCGCATGAACAGGTCGGTCAGGGAAGGCGTGCATGGAGATACACATAAAGGGTGTGTGCACATGTGTTGGAGCGTGTTTAAGGTCATGCCTCCTGGACTTATGCAAAACAGTTTAACGTCATGCGGCCAGGACGTGCACTATGGTTTAAGGTCATAAATCTTAGACCGTGGCTATGCTGTTTAGAGTCCTGCAGCTTGGACCATGCAATTTAAGGTCGTGCAACTAGACCTTTGCTACAGTTTAAGGTCATATAGTTTGGACCATGGTGTTGTTCCTTTTAATGTCACATAGCTAGGACATGTACATATAGTTCAGACCTTGAAGTTTAAGGTCGTGCAGCTAGACCTCAGTTATAATTTAAGGCCATATAGTTTGGACCATAGTGTGCAGTTTAAGTTCATGCAGCGCTGACCATGGCTGTGCAGTTTAAGGTCATGCAGTTTGGACCATAGCTGTACAGTTTAAGGTCATGCAGTTTGGACCATAGCTATGCAGTTTAAGGTCATGCAGTTTGGACCATTATGTGGGTCGCCATGTAGGTGGAAAAATGGTCAAGGCTAACAACGGGGTTCAGATGGGAAGGCTGATTTCATTGGGGATAATGGTACAAGTGTGACTTCCTTAAAGGTGAAAAATAATACTCAATGAACCCCTTCAGGACAGGAAAGCTAGGTGTGAGGCAATCCTAGTGGGGATCGCAGTGGTAAAAATGACTCTAACTCCATTGGGGATAATGGGCTACAGTATGGGTATGACTCCTACTAAGGATGAGAATTCATGGCCCGGGTTGAATGACTTGGGTATCACTCTGCTGGGGATAGTAGGGAACGATCAAGGTGCAACTCTCCTAGGGATAATAGTAGTGGAACTAGCACGGCTTTAGCTTGGGGTGCGCGGTAATGATCACTTCTTGAACACTCAGTCGGCGTTGAGTCTTTGAGAAAAAGCAGGCGTCGAGCACAAGCAACATTACTTCTTGAACATCCAAATGGCAATGGGCTTTCGAAAACGTAGACGGCGCTGAGATCAGGAAACACTATCTCTTGAACACTCAGTCGGTGCGTCGGCAGAAATTTGTTCAGACCTCGGGTTAGAGCCTGACCTGGTCCGACCCACTGGCATTTGGCCTTGGGATTCTTAATTTGTGAGGGGCTTTCGAGGAAAGCATCGGCTATATAAAGGGGGTAAACCCCCATTTTCACTATTTCACCAAAGAATAAAAAGACTTACGGTGTGAAATTTTTGTTTTAACAGGAGCTTGGTGGCAAACAGAGCAAGTTCCAGCTAAGCAAGGAGAGACGAGATTGAAGTTGAGTTTTCCAAATTAGTCGGGACGTTTTTTAGGCAACAGGGAACTTCAGCCATGGTTTTGAAGGTTTTGGTGAAGGGAGGATGAGGCGAAAGTTGTAGCAATGGCTGCCTAAGGATTTCCATAGATTTTGCAGTTTTTCGGCATTTGAAAGTCTTATTTTCTGGTGATTTGGGGAACGTTGCTGAGGTTTCCGGTAGTGGAAGGAGAACTCCGGCAGGAACCCTAAAGGGGCAAGGGAGACGGACCATTGCTG